CCACCACTGCCATATGTATCTAAGGCTGGGGACTACATTTCTCAGAATCTCTTTCCTTGTGCAGTTTTGGTTTACAGTTTGCCCAGGAGAAGAACTTATATGCAAGATTTGGAAAGTGAAAGTAATAATTGCTAGCTCTGATGTCTTTAAAGGCACTGCCTGTGTCCATTTGCCTTCCTGTGCTTCTGTCATCACAATGAGAAGACTGCCCCGACTGGCCCTGTGTCCCAGAAGGAGGATGAGAGCCACATGGAGCAGAGCCACCAGAGGCTGAAGTTAGAGCCACCCCTGGCTGACTCACAGACCAAGCCTGAAAGATGTTTAAACTTGAATGCCACTGAGATTTTGTCATTGTTCATTACATAGCACTTTTGTGATACTGTGTGACTAATGCAGATACATAAACTTTGTCTTACTTTTCTACCCTCTTTTCCCATCATGCTCACTGTTTTCTTATTTAAAAAACAACAACCGTATTTCATTATATGTATAATAGTGAGATGTCTCAAACACTTTTTGGGAAAAGGTGAAATATTAATAAGAATACTAATCAAATATTCTGAAGACTGCTCCTTTATCCCTTTTAATTTTCATGAGTGACTTAGATGATTTCTAGAATGACATTGTGTGACAGTTCTTACTATTAGTTTGGAATGTAGTCATCAAGGAGAATCCTAGGATAAAGAAGTCAGATGAGAATAAAGTCAAGTCACTTCAGCCGTGGAGAGGGGATGAATTCTGGAACGGGAAGCCAAGTGGAATATCACCAGCAGGGGACGGAGCTGAAAGTCAAGCAAAGGAGCTAATGATCAAGGTGAGAGTGATCACTGTGCACGGATCTGTCCTTTCTCCCACTGAAGGATCCCATCAAGATATATATATATTTCAGATACGTACGTCTCTCTATGTATAGAGAGAGATATATATATTTCAGATACGTACCTCTCTCTATGTATAGGTGTGTATATTACATGTTATATATATAATATATACATAATATATATTATATAAATAAAATTGGGTTGTCAGAAAAGTCATGACATATTTTTTCTATGGTTTTCGTTGCAAAAATGTGTCATGACTTTTCCGACAACCCAATATATATATGTGTGTATATA